TATATTTCATTTATTGATCAATTTAATATATTAATATTCTATTATTATTTAATCAAACAAGTATTCATGGAACACTAATTTTATGTTATAGGCACTAGGAATGCAACAATGAAGAAGAGAAACAAGATCTTTACTTCCAAAGAGCATATATTCTAGCACGGAGGTATAATAAGCAAGGAAACAAATAATATAAGCTCTATGATAAAATAGAGAAAAGAAACAGAGTGGTTAGCTTGTATCGCAAGTGCTACTTAAGACAGATTGATCAGAGGCAGACTTTCTCAGAAGACAGTATTTATGCAGACACCTGAATGGCAAAAAGAAACCTCTTGTTTGAAGATTGAGAAAAGGAATTAATGCTAAGTAAATATTAATAGGACCTGCCACCCCCTCAAAAATTTTTTTTGGTTCCAAGACAACAGTATAAATGGTGGCTTGTATACACCTATCTAAATATTTAAAAGTTATAAATCAAGATAAGAAAATCATTAATATAATATTTTTTATCTTCCCACCTTGACAAATAAACCTTCATAACAGCCTAGAAGGCCTTCTTTGAATTTAGAAATCTTGGACTCCTTGAAATTCTTTGTTGGCACATGGTGGCATGGGGAGAGCCAGCCCCATTTTTAGGCCTGTTTCTCACTCTCTTCCCATCCCTGGATACGTCCCACAATATGAGGAGCTCCCTATCCTCATGTGGACACCCCAGTCCACACATTTAAGCTGTGTCTACATCCCACTCTCAGCCACCCCTTGGTTCCCTCTTGGGCCCAGAGGGTACCTGTGGTGTGATCCCCAAACATCTGGAGAATAGACTTGGGGAGAGGCCTGTACTGGCCCTGGAAGCTGGCTCAGGAACATTTGAGAAGAGAATCCCAGGGCACTGGGTCCAGGTAGTGTGGTCTCTTGGGGAGGGGCGTGGACACCAGGAGCACATGACTCTGTGACCGTAAGGCCTCCTAATCCTATGGAGTGGAGTTAAGCTGAAGAAAAGGACAGAATGAGACTTTGTACATTGTTAGGTTCAGGGAAGAAGTCTTTCTTGCCTGGGTCTAACATGGTAGTGAATTAAAGAGTTATTGGAGGGGGTAATACTTTGTACAACTTACCTGGGCTTGGCCATCTGAAGGGCCACCAGATCAAAGTCCGTGTCCATATTTTCAACCAGACTGACCTTCATGAAAGTCGTCCCTCTCTCCTTCTTTTTTTGGTGGGGGAGAAGGAGAGAGGATCCAACGGCTGTTAATGTAAAGCTCTAGAGCTATGACCAAGGTTGGAATATTTCAGAGAACTCAAAAAGGCCAACTCAAATGGTTAGGAGCATGGAGACACCTGATTGGGGTCTTGAGTATCCCATATGTTGGCCACCTCACTTTGGATGAATTGACTTCTCCACCCTTAGTTAATAAATCATCTAGTAAATGGTGATAATAATAGTGTCGACCACCTAGGGTTGTTGGGGCCATTTAAATGGGATAATGCAAATAGTGCATTTAGCAGAATGACTGGCATGTAAAATATGGTCAATAAACATCTGTTTATTGAGATTACTGCTATTAACTATTACTACTACTACAACTAACTCCACTATTACTATTACTATTATCCAGGGATACCTTAAGACATTGAGAAAACTTAAACTTAGGTTTTCTGACTCAAAGACTAGTGCTCTGGCAGCCGTACACTATGATTATGAAAAACAAGTCATCCACCATCATTATTTGTGGACAATGACCATCATAACATGACAGGAGGTAAAGTCAGGGCATTGGCGTCTCACAATTTTGTAAAGGCAAAGCCGTTTCCCTTTCTGTACAGTCTCACTCATGGTGAAGCTGGCTTGGAATCAGCAGCTGGAGGAAGCTCTTGAGTGTTCACACAAATGAAGTGTGACAGTTTTGAAAATATAAAGCAATGAGCTACAAAAACTAATTACAATTTGGCTTTTGGCTTCAGGGCTTGAGGTTCGACCCTCTCTTTCTCCGTTTCTGTCTCTTTTACACACGCGTGTACACACACACAGAAGACATACATGCACAGTTTTCCCCACATTGGCCCCTTCTTTCTTAGACCCATTTTAATGTCCTATAATTACTGTAGATAATCCATGTATAATCAACATTTAACTATCTGTAGATGTGCCACATTTCAAATTCCAACATGATGGTAAATATCTTATTGCATTAGACTTGGTATTATATTTATGAAAAGTTCAGTGGGTTAGGATATGGTAATAAGGCTGTTTTTCAGAATAAAATATTGTGTTCTCAGACATTCTACCCAGATGTTGTACTGCTTCTGGGAAAACTTCTAGCCATTGTACGTGGGAAGCATTTTGAGCTCAGGCAGACTGGGATCAAATCCTGGCTCTCTAGGGCAAGTTTTGACCTCTCTGAACCTCAGTTTTCTTTTCTGCAAGGAGGACTACCACAAATCACTACTTTTGCTACTGTTAATGTGTATTATTTTTATTATTACTTGAAACTAGAGTGGAAAGAGTTTGGGAAACTTGTAATAGTCCAAAGCTACTGCTTAAGGGGCAAATCTTTGGTGAATATTAAAGAGCAGCTTCTCAGCCTGAGTTTATCAGAAATAAAAGGCTGAGGCAAGGGCTGTGTGTGGGTAGTTTGTTTTTAGAAGTCACCTCACATATGAGGAGTGGAGGACCAGGGAAAATGAATCAAGGATGATAGAAAAAACAATTCATGAGAACATTGTTAAGATGATCTCTGCTGGGCTCTATAACTCCATTGCCTATTGTCACAGTGTTTCTCTGGGAAACCGGGTACAATGCAGCATACAACTGAACATCTGAAAGAAGGAAGAGGAGGACACTAATTTGCTAGTTTCCATCCCAGTGTACAGGTGTTGAACTACCCCTGGGGTAGTAACTCCTTAGAGCTCCCAGGATGCACAGGTGTGAGTGCCAGAAGGTTCCTGTGATCATCCCACTGTGTGGCTGTGAGAGGCTTTGGTGTAGAAAGTGGAAGGTCCTCATTGCAGCCCAGGTAAAGGGCTGTCAGGTCACACTGCTGTTCTCTGGCTGCTCACGGTCATAGCAAAAGATGGGTCAAGAGGATGAGAGACCCAGCCAAAGATGAATCTTCTATACAAGCATTTTACCTAACGGTAGGTTAATAGTAACAGTGGATGAACAGCCACCCAATTCCAAAGAATATAAATGGCTTATAAATTTGAATAACCGTTAGTTTCCTTGGGGGATAGAAAATGCAGGCAAACCCATTATTTTCCCTCTTCTGTTCGATGCAGGGTTTTTCAACTTTGATAGTACTTAACATATTGGGCCTGATATAAAGTTTTTGTTTGGGGGGGTGGGCTGCCTTGTGCACTGCAAGGTGTTTAGCAGTATCTCTGGCCTCTGTCTACTAGATGCCAATAGCAATTTCCCCTCCCCCAGCCCCCAAGTTGTGACAACTGAAAGTGTCCCCAGACATTGCCAAGTGTTTCCTGGGGACAGGCAGCTGTCCCTGATAGAATTGAGATGTCTCTCCTGCCTTTCCTTTCTCTCTACTCCTCAGCCCACAACCACTCACCCTTGTGGCTGTTCTACCGGCCCAGGCACATGAGTGGCTCATAGCTATGACTTATGTCTCCATCCTAGTGACCTGTACCAACTGAGATTTTTCTCTGCAGTTCTGTTGACCAGAAGGGCTATTAAAAGCAACTTGATAGGGGCCAACACAACTGGATATAATTAAGAGCAGTTAAATAAAAGAATCTCCTGAAGAAAAAAAAAAGGATAAAGGGAGTACTCAAATAGTTTGCTACAATGAGTTATGTTTAAAAATATTTTTTATGTGTTTGTCTCCACTTTAAAATGCCCCTCATTTAAAAGGGAACAGTTTAAATAGTACTTCAGAATGTTTCCTTTGGTAAGCATACGTCAGACCAGAAAATTAAGAAAGATAATATAAATCTGCCCAGGAACAATTTTTTCCCTTTCAAATGTTACATCTTTTTATAAAATTAATATTTTATTCTAGAACAATCTCAGATTTACAGAAAAATTATAAAGGTAGTACAAAGGCTTCGCATATACCATGCACTCAATTATTCCTATTATTAACATCTTACATTAGTATGGTGGCTTTGCCACAATTAATGAACCAATATTAACAGTTTAATGTTAACTGAAGTCTATGATTTTTTCAGATGTCATTGGTTTTTCCCTAATGTCCTTTTTATGTCAGATCCCATCTAGGACTCCACATTACACTTAGTCATTGTGTCTCCTCAGGCAGCTCTCGACTGTGCCAGTTTGTAGCATTGTTTTAAACTCTGGGCTCCTCAATCAACAGGGACTGGGAAAACCTGAAGGTATCCGAGGTCAGGGCAGTAATGAATATGGGATGAGGAAGCAACAGTCAAGGCTTTGCTATCTGTGTGGACGTAAGGGGAATGCTACATAACTGGAATTTGATTAGAAATCTCTAATGTTGAAACAACAAAGAATATAATTTCATAACTATGCAAAAGATTCCTAGACACACAAAGACTTTCTGTGGTTTTGGGTTCTGGTCCCAGGATCCTTTTCTAGCCTTATTTCTTTCTGTCCTTCTTACGTCCTGGAATCCAGGTGACCATATTAATTCTGTCTCAGTGCTGGACACGTGTTGTTAAATCGGTTTGGAATGCTTTTCCCCTATAATGACATCGTAACCATCACTCAAGGTCACCTCTTCTGATAAGCTTACCCAACTATCAGACAACTTCTCCATCTACTCTGCTCCACAGCCTTAGCTTGTACCTTGTCCAGTTACTTCTGCATTCTAGATGTGGTGCAAATAATAACAGCAACAACCATTCATGACATTTTTACCATGCGCCCTGTGCGAGTGTTTTTCATGCACTGCCTTATTTAAATTAATCTCCATGTCAGCCTCAGAGGGTAGGTAGCAGTTACCCCACTTTACTGAAAGAGATTTTGTGGCATAACGCATTTAAGCAACTTGTTCATTCTCCCGCAGAGGGTAAGTGGGTAGGCAACACCTTGAACCTAAATCTGTCTGATTCTTGACAAGTGAAGAATCTTTCACTTGTCAAGAGTCAGAACCAATCCTTTTTATTTCCGAGTCCCACATATCCCTGCCACCACCTTCCTTGATGAAGCCCACCACTCTTCATTCTAAAATGGGCTGCAAGCTACTTAGAAAGAGGGGTTCCATTTTGTTCACACCCACATCCACAAACTGCTTAGTTCAATGCTGTATGCATCAAACGCATTTGATAGAGGATTCACGAAATGATTTTCTTAGATTAAAAAATAATAATAATAACCAAAGTTATTCTGGCCCATAAGCTTGAACCTGGCAGCTCTGAAAGTAAGCTGGAAGAATGCTCATGGGAGGAGAAGAGCTAAAAATATCTTCTCATTAAAGTAATGAACACAAATACCAGCGGACTTTGCGAATAGAAACGCTTCAGGTTCTCCAGCTATACACGGCCCTGGGGCCGAGATCTAATTGTAGGAAACAGTGCCCTGTCCAGGACGCTTCCCTTGCCCACACTGGAAAATGACAAGGTGTGGTGGAATGCGCTCTGCTCTGGGATTCAGGCATCCAGCTTGCAGTCTGCCAGGCACTAACGCTACGACCTCCAGAAAGTTCCTTAATCATTCTGGGCTCCAGGTTCCTCACCTGTAAAATGCCGGTGAAGGATCTTGGGCAAACTCTAAAGATCCCGCCAGCTCTAACATTCTGTGATTTTAGGTGCAATTATGTGAGCCCTGGAAGCAATGCTCATCCACGCAGACTTTCTGGAAGAAAAGGGAAGGAAAAAGGAAAAGAAAAACACTTCCATAAAAGTATTTATAGTACAGCCAGTGACTATGAATCATGGCATAATTAATTCTCCTTTATAAAGTTGCCTTGTTTCCTAGCAGTGCAGTAATTCCCAAGCCCTTCTCGACAGCAGCCCCATTGACAGATATGGCATTCTCCTTGTCTCTTTGCACTGAATAAGTTCAAACCACCCAGACTAATCTCTGAGTCTCTGCCAGCTCTAAAGTCTGTAGCTGCATGATTCTAATCATCTGTGACTGACTGACAGACTTGGTTAATAAAGGACGTAAGATATATGTGATCTATCTTGACTTTAACAAAGCTCTGGATTAATTTCCTCACATTAGTTTTGTCCATCGAGTTTTAATATTAAATGCTTCATAATTTAATTAGGATTTGCCTAGAAAATCATAGCCATAGGCTGGTTTGAAATCTCTGTGTGCTGGCCCTATAGTTATGGTAGATAAAAATCCTCTTTGGCCAATCCATTTGAAACTCTTGTTTCTTAAATCTGATTCTTTTTGGGTGCAGATTCTTACAATTTATCATTTTGATAACACTTCCCAGGAGAATATTTTCTCATAAAGCTTTCTCTAATCTCAGAACTCATTCTAGGGTTCTTAAAATGGCATTTAAGGAGCTACCTGCAAGTTTTTGTGCCAGAGAGCTTGATGTCATCTTGATTATATTTTGTAAGTTTTCTTTTTATTTATGACATGTCTACTTCTAAAATGGAATTGAGGAACCACACATTTTCAGTTCCTTCCTCCTGAATTAGGGAACCAGAGAAGTAGAATGAAGCTAACAGTAGCTGATTTTGTTTTGAGATTCTACAGAATGGCCAGAGTGAGAAAAATGGTGTGCTTGTGAAACACAAGTGCATGAGTTTTCACTCTTCCCGTGTATTCCCAGCTCATGTCACATTTGAATTTTGGTAGAAACAATGTGGACAAAGAATAATGCAATCACAGTTTAGATTTACTCTTTGACTTTAAGCAATATGGTTTAACTATCTGATATTGGGGGCTTTTTTTGACATGTAAAATAAAGAACTTGGGCTAGATAACTTCTGAGGCTTTTTAAAAAATTAGTGTCTAAAGTAAATCTGCATCAATTTATTTTATAACTATCTAAGCTGGTTCATGTCCTAAAATAATAGCTATTTAGGGATCATTTTAAAGTTACTTTGAAGCAATCTTTACTTTGAACAATATGCCTTTGTTGTATCCTTTCGGGTAATACTATATAAAGTGGTGAATTTATCCAATAGAAACCTCATCATCCTTTTATCACCTGAGATAGTGATAGAACTCTGCAAGATGTAATAAAAGCCTAAACATTTCAGAGTCACTCGGAAAATAATCAGCCTGCCATAATTGTCCCTTAGAAGGAGAGCAATGAGCCAGACTAGAAGTGTAATTCTTGGCAGAAATAACCAGTTTTCTGAAAGCAGGCTCCTTAGCATCCACTTGACCCCAAATTGAGCAGATTTCCAGGTTGGTCTTCCTGATTCATTGCCTTCAACAGATAGTAGTTAGTCCTTAAGATGCCCTTCTTAAAATTGTGTCTTTCAATTGGATTTCCAATTTATAAGCAGAAAACATTGTGTTACAGTTACAGAAAACAATAGACATTTTTTTTCTTGTTTTAATGATATTTTGTGTGAGAAATAATTATCTGTTTTACTTCATATCTTATAAAGTACATCATATGATAAATTTATACACAAACTTTGAGACTCCATGTAAGATTGTTTAAAACTTGGACTCTCCCAAGTTATCTGCAACATTAATTATTTTGCACCGTCTGGAGGGTATATCCTCATCTGTGGCCAATCTGATTTTATCATTGAGCTCAGAGTAATCTGTATATGCCATTTGAGAACATTGGAGAAAGGGGTGAGGAGTGCACAAATGCTGCACGAAGATTACAAAGGCAATGTTGTATGTTTAAACAGCTCTTTTATTCCATGCAACAGCACAGTCCTGTACCCTCTGCAGTGATGTGTGATGGAAGAAGACTGGTGGGTCTTAGTAGAGACCAGGCAACTTCATTTTCTGAGTTAAGTATATGATTCTTTCCCAGGTGGCTGGGCATCAATGAATAGTCATACTGATTCCTCACAATGCAACTTCTCTCTCAGAATTTCCTTAGCCCAGTGAGACAAATCTTCCAAGGAAAAGCTATGTGTTCAACGTGGCAATTTTTTATTTCTCTTACTACAACAAACAGTTGCTTGTAAAGCTTACTGAATGTTCCCAGCTCCTACATTTGAAAGAGAGCAAATATGGTAATATACCCAGTGAAGAGTGGCATATTTAAATAAGGCAACCATCCTTCAGAATTCTATAGGTTTCTGTCTTTAGGGATGATACCTATTGGTCTGGAAGATTTACTAGAATGGTACTTAAGATACACATAGGTAACAATCTACTGTTTCTTGTGGAGAGAAACAACTGGATTTGATAAAACTAGGATCTGAGTTCTTTGAAGACTTGACCTTGTTCAAGGGTATAGTGAAGGTCTGCTAGTTGGGTAGGGCTCTCTATGGGAAATTTACTTGAGAAACAGAGAGATATCCTGGAAACAAAAGGATGAGGACTTAACTCCTCTCTGAAATTCCCCAATTCCCAGTTAGTGAAACTAGCCAGGTTGGGTCAACATGGATGGCCTTGATTGATGTGCAATGTTAATGAAAGGCGAAGGGGCTCTCAGCTCAAAATCTTTAATAAAAGCAGAAGATAGAAGTGTAGGAGTTAGTCCTTAAACCAAGAACTAGGTGTTGAAGGTGGACTTGGGGCATTGGAGCTGGCTCATATTGGCTCAAAGGGGCTATGGTGCACATCTCTTTCCATCTGCACATTTGATGAGTATATGTGGGTAGTTTGGAAATGGCCATGGCGGGAGAATTTACACCACAGAAATTGGCAAATGTTACAGACTCATTTTTCTCCCCAGAGGGGCAGTTAAACATTTATCAAGGTATCACCAACTTTGGGTCCAAACACTGGATATGGCCTCAAATCAGCCTACCTGGTGATAGGTTTTTGCCTGAGGAAATGGTGGGGTAGATAAAAAAAAAAAAAAAATTGGAAGGGCTGTTTCACTAGCCAGAGGGCATTCATGACTTAGTATTTCTTTAGTGTTGACCAACTGAAGAATTCTGATTCTTGGTCTAAGAGAGCCAGACTTTCTGAATTCTGTATAAACTATGTAAAATCCCATCCCTCATTTTCCCAAACCAATTCTCTCTTACTACAACAAATGATTACTTTTAAAGCTTACTGAATGTTCCCAGCTCCTACCATTTGCAATCAGACTCTAGCTTGTTTGGAGTGGTATGAGAGGTTTCTTAAATCTGGTGTGGGAAATGGAAAGCATTCAATTCTTGGTGGTCAAAAAAACTGGGAAACGATTCTTTTCATATCACTGAGGAAAACATTGGCCTTGTTCTTTGGCCTTTCATTTCATAAATAAGCTTGTTAAGGATCAAAACAGCATCAGAGCCATAGTTTCCCTTAACATCATGATTTATTTTTTTCTTACTGTTTTAAAATTGAAAGAGTTGGTTCTTCAAGGGAAGTTTCCTCAGATAGAAATGTCCTTTTCTCTCTTACTGAACTTCACCCTCTAGTCCTGTTTAGAAGATATCATTTTATTGGTTTTAGCTTTTCACATATTTCTCAACCAGAAATATCGCACCAGATAGAAGTCTACCATTACCTCTTCACTGTTGAGCTCCTTTTCTCAAGCCTACTGATATCTGGTAACCTCTTGGCCTTTATTTCTTTTGAATTCTATTCTACAGTACATTGTGTATGTTACAACCAGGTAAAGAAGATGTTTTGGTATGATAAGAGATGAAAGCTTCATATTGTGCATGGTCATGGTCTTCAATTTGCTGTGTATTGTCCATATCTGTGCATAGCACTTTATACTGCTGAATGCACTTTCATCTGCAATATCTGATTTGGCTTGTATGCAATCTTATAAAGTTAGCGGCATTACGTGCTCTTGTTATAGATTCATCATTCATCCCACAAATATAAGTGTGAGATGCTGTGCTAGGTATTGATGGTACCACATTGAAGAAGGCACATTCTCTGACTTCAGGGAGATTTATAGGCCAGTGAGGGATAAAGGAAGCAAATAGGAAATGATATTATAAGGGAATATCTGCTATGACAGGGCTCCATGGGAATGCATAAGAGAGACAATTAATAATGTTTTGGGGCTGTAAGTGGATATAAACCTTGGCCTTTACCATATCAGTACATGGTAGCCTATCTTCCAACTCCTAACACCTGCAAGTCTTTACTTAAGGGGGCATTCTCTGGTCACCCAAGCTAATCATCCCTTGTCCAATGACTAATAGGCATTAGTGTATGATTATCCCAGCTTCCTTGATCCTTAGATGAGATAACTCTAGATGCATGCTTCATATTGTTTTCTTTACTTTTCCAATTAGATCAAGCTCTAATTACTTGCAGTGATAACTGTCTTAATAACATTTTATTAGCTTCTTTGCCCCATCTCACTTCCATACTCCCTGTATTTTCTGGGATAACATTCCTGATAAATTGCTCGAACACAAATTCCTATTTCAGAATCAGCTGCTGGAAGAACCCAAACCAGATAAAATTACTGATACAATATTATTTAAATATAAAGAAATATATATCCATTTAGAACATACTTCTTTATTCTTTAGTCTATTAATTAATTTAATAAGATTTGAGTGACTCTTATATACTAGATGAAATTTACTAAATATCTGGGATGAAGAAAATAGATATAATTTCTGACCTCATGAAGGTCATAGTCTAGTGGCAATATGGAAATAAAAATGAGCATATGAGAAGAATCTTTTATATCTTCCATAAGGTAAACACAGGAAAGCCTGTGTTAGGAGAAGTTATTTTGGAAAAAAAAAAAAATCTCTCATTTTATAAATGTGGACACTAAGGCTGAGAGA